CGCCACCATTTTAAGCTTAAAAAACCCCTTAAAAAACACTGTGATCCTGGTGTTTGTATTTTGACATTCATTCATTCATTTTCCACCCCTTTATTAGTCCATTTCTGGGGGGGGGGGGGGCATATTGATAGTAAACTGAGGCTTTGCTCAGGGGAAGCTGATAGTAAATTCGGTTGCCAGCTGTAGTACTGTCATTCTTGATTTCTGGCCTAAAATTCTATTCAAATGTTTTTCCTGTGCTCTGACTTTTATACCCTTTCTAACCTGAGCTCGGACCTCGTGAGACCTTGTGTGCGCTGCTTTCCTGGCTCTTTCTGTAAATATGTTGTGTTTATGAGTGCGAATGGTGACAGCAGTCGGCCTTGGCATATTTCACAAATGTGTTTGCCATTTTCCATCCGTTCGCCCCCGGCATAAAGGGCTCATAATGGGGTTTAAGTGACATCAGCTTTGCCTTGCAGCTGGAAGACAATTAAATGAGGAATGGGCTGAAAAATGTGTTTGGGGCTCAGCAAGAGGAGGGGCATAATGTTGGAATTTGCCCATGGACAACCTCCTCTGTAACCTCACTATAAACAATATTCAGTGGTGGGAGAAGTACTCTTATTTTGTCAAGTACAAGTATTGCATGAACACAGGCGTTTCCATAATGGCATTGAATTAAAGAGCTCTAAATACTCTTTTCCTATTGGCATTGAATGTATTTACTGAATGATGTTATCCATGATGTATACTTGATGATTTACAGATTTATTCTCTAAATGATGTTTAATTAATTGTGTGAATATAATCAAATAAGGCGTGTTTAGTTGTATAGCACATTTCATACACAAGGCAACTCAAAGTGCTTAAAAATACAAGCAAAGAAACATCATATCTTGTTAAATATTGTTTTTTAAAATGTAAGCGTTTCATTCAGACCCATTATTGACATCTTTATAGAAGCAAAAATGAAAGTAATCTAGATTTAGATTTAACACATAAAAAGACCGACCCCTTAGTCATTTTCCGGCACATTTTACTTCGATGTTGTCCTTTATCTAACTGAGAAAGTATCACTGAGATTCTGAAATCTCAGTGAGAGTGGGGAGCTACATTTTTAGTGGGAGAGGATACCAACACAGACACAGGGAGAACATGCAAACTCCACTCAGAAAGGGCCTATCCGGAATTAAAATCAAACTCATCAACTTTTTGCTGAGAAGTGTAAGTGCTAACCACTCAGCCACCACCTTTCCTGTATAGTTTTAAAGTACACATTAAAAGTACATACAGCTGCATTGGAAATAAAACATACTTCCTGTCAAAGTTCTGGTGATATTGGCCGTAAAGTGAGTCAACGGAGTCAATTCTATGAGTTCTTAAACTTTTCCTCTTAGCACCACACAAAACAGTGGTCACATTCTGCTAATTATGCTGTGGTGAGACATTTTTGTTGTATTTTCTAGCCCCGATCGCTCTGCATGTGTTTCGACCAGCAGCTAACCATTGCCCTTTGCAGGAAAGCTGTTGGTAACACATTCCTCTCTTTCAAAACCAAGTCATTTACAGAACTTTAATTAATGCAAAGGCTCTGAGTGTGCGGTGGTGGGGAGTGCTGCAGCTGCTGTGGTCGTTCGAAGGCACGAATCATCAAATCGCTCCTCGAAATCGTTTCAAATGTCAAATTCTATTCATTTATTTGAGTATGGTTAGTTGCATTAAACTGGTGTACCACACTTTCCAACCAGAATTTCACTATGTAATCAAATCTAATTCCTCATTCTCCAAAAACTATTTAGTTCTATCACAAATTGTTATGTGCATGTATTTTTGGCTTCAGTCACATCATTGGAGTATATTTATTTATATTTATCAGACAGAAAACTGGAAAAGAGAGAACCACCCTCACTCAGCCAATCAGCTCTCAGCCGAAAGCATCCAACAATGACACACAAGGCTATGCTAAAGATAATGTTTTTTCTGAAGAATGATGTTGTCTAATTTGTTCACAAGATTTTACTTTGCAACAAGACTTTCTGTTATTTATAAAAAGTTACATAACCAACTTTAAGTGCTCTATCAACTATGTCATATGCAGAGTACACAGTTCTAGGTGAAGTTAAGGATGCATATCTCAAGCTCATTGGAAAAACATGACAGTACAAAGTTGTGAGAAGTATTGTTTAGCGCTTTGACAAAATATTGCCTCAAATATACTAAAACTGCTCTGCTTTGTTTTGTGAATTTTGGCCCCGTCGAAGTCCACTCCCATTAGTATAGCACAATTCATACACAAGGCAACTCAAAGTGCTGAACAAAACATAGAAACAATCACACAAGGCATTAAAACCCCTCTGTTTTGTCACCTGGATTTAAACATGGTCAGAGAGGAGGCCTGTCTCACATTTTCCGTAAGATTGTTGCAGATTTAAGCCGCATGAATATCAAAAGGCTGCTCTTGACTGCGTGGCCTGAGAACCTCATTGGATGCTAATGATACAGAGCATTTCACCTTTACAGGAGATAAGCAGTGGGTGGGGAAAGTGCCTGGTTAAGACTAAGATGTTGCCAGATAACGGCTATTAATGCTAATTCCTGCTCGTTGTATGCACTGATGGCTTATCAGTGTGTGTGAGTGTGTGGGCATCTGCGTTCCCACATCTGCCATCATCTCTGCACAGCACCGAGCCAAGTCCCGCTGATTAAAGCCTGATCTGGTTGTTTTGTTATTTCCTGTAGTTTTGCCCTTTGAAAAGCTGCCACTTCCAACTTCAGCTGGACCACGTTCAAGTCTGATTGGCTTACAGTCCTTCCACTTGTGTTGTTTATTAGCCACATGTGTTTCTGAACTGCTACAGGCTTTTGCTCGTTCGGCCGGAGTGTTTTCTGGGGTAAATGCTATAGTGCAGGTGTGCAGATGTTGAACGCATGCATCCTCTGTGTAATCCTCCAAATTACATCCATTCTTAGACATTATAGCCATTTATCTCGGTCATTCATGTCATACTAAGGTTCCCATGTTTCAAAATCATTCAGTGAAAAAAAGATTCTTGAAAAAAGTCACCAAAAGTATGTGCAAATCTGGTCATGCTGGACCGGTGTTGGATTACCCAGATGCACACATCCTCAGCTGTTGGAAAATCAATCTCCTTGTGGCGTAGCTGACGTTTTGATTCGCTACTGTACTCGTTTCCCTAAATGCTACTCCCCTCGATACTGGCTGGTTTGTTTCCATTAGGGCTGTTACATTTAATGCATGGGATGGGGAGGAGGAGGGTTGCTGCATGAATGAAAGCTGCTTGAATTAAAGCTTCTTGCACGATACCTCTCAGTGTGTAGAAAGGCAAGCCTGCTCACAAGGACACAGACCTGTTATTTCTTTGGCTTAAAAGTTTCCCAGTGGGACTTTTCATTCCCAGACTGTATTTTAAACATAATCTTTCTTGCACTTTCATCCATAATAACCCCGAGTTGTTATCACCTCAAATGAGTCGAATCTTTGTTGTGGCTATAGCATGTTTGAGTGTTAATTGCTGGATGCTAATTGCAGTTAAGATGGTATATGTGGTTTAGGAAAAGGGAGTGGACTTCCTGTTTGGACCCCCCCTAAATCCCCCACCCTCCCCTCTCAGACATGTCTGCTCCCAGGGGCCGGGGCCTTCATACCTCCATCAGTCTGTCTGAACTGTGTCTGGGGTCAAGTATTCTTCTCCGCTGAGGTAATGCCGGATTCATACAAGATGCAGTGTCTGCTTCGGGAATTAATTATCTAGTCAATGGCAGAACTCATGCTATATTTCCTTTGTGGTGAAACATGTTGTTAGCCCTACATGAATACTTTGGCAAAAAACACAAGTAATCAAGTCAGGTTAAGTTTGGGGATAATCAATGTAATAAAGAAATTATATGAAATTGTTCCATCCATCCATCCATTTTCTACCCTTTAATCCATTTCTGGGTCAGGGGGGTGGCAGTCAGAGATGCCACCCAAGTCTCATAGCACCAGCCCCTCACTGACCCTCTGCAGGTGGTGAGTCCACAGGAGGACGGCTGCTCTCTGAGTGTGAGCAAAGCCTTGTTCCATTTATTGTCAAAAGGTTCATATGGACACCCTTAGAACATTATATGACAATATTGCTTGCAACTGTGAGCACAATATTTGTTGTAAGGCTTTTGAGAAGTATAGTTGTTTCTTTTTCAATGAGTGGTAGCATTCTTAGCCTGGTCAAATCTACATTAACACTACACAGGACCTAACGCTTAGTTGAGATGGAGTATAGATGGCGATTGAAAACGTATAATGAAACTATTGCTTGCTAATCATCTGATGGTGATACTTGGTAAAATAGAATATAATTACTTTTGTATTTCATCTAACAATGTGACTCACAAATACACAAACATATTTCAAAGTGGACGGTAACCCATAACCATCAAAATGATAACAAAAATCTTGGCATATGGAGTCTACATTATATATTGGTTTCACATTGTAAGTTGAATTTCAGAAAAAAATAACTTTTGGACGATCTTCTTCTAGTTTCTTGTAGTTTAAGTGGTCTTCTAATCTTTATGCAGTAAAGTTGAGTTTGAGCCATTTAACCAGTGTTTTCCGGTTTTTTCTATTTTAACTACAGCCCTCATATATTGCATTGTGGGAGTGTTTCTCTGTGTTCTAGCAAAGTGTGTACGACCATGTGCCGTGTGTCTGTCATAGTGGTGGTTTCCTATGCTTGTATTGCAGTATGTAAACTACTGCTGTAACCTGTTACCATGTTTTGCTTCTGGTTCAAAATTCCCATTTGCTAAATACAAAAACGTGCAGGCCATACCGCATTTTCAATTAGCGTTTTGCGGAGTTCACATGGGAGGTCTGGCATGCAGCTCCTAAATTCTAATTGATGCCAGATTAAAATCCTTGAAAATGCAGCCTTTATGCGTTTGTTGTGTTGTCAGCAGTTTGTGGTCTAGTGAATGTAGTGCAGGTTGTAAATGCTGTTTTCTCTTTTCTCCTGCAGTGCCAGTGTTGTAATAGGAGCGCCCAAAGCTGTCACGTGGCAGGCCAACGTCACTGAGGGAGGAGCGGTCTTCTACTGCCCCTGGAGCACCAGCCGGTCGGACTGTCATGCCATAGAGTTTGATAAAGAAGGTAAGGTGACATCTTTGAACACATGAGTATCATATACAGTATGTCATGTAATTCAGTATCACCATGGTGCTATTGTACGTTTGCGGTTCAGTGAAGATGGAACTGGCAAACTCTGGTTGATTAGGGAAACCAAAGTGATCAAATTTTTGATCATGCCTGAGGCCTCTTGAGTGAGGTTTGATGAAGTTCTCCAGCTCAGGTCCTGTGACTAGGCTCAGAATCAACATTTGGAGATGGTTCTCCAACTTAGACTTGACTGACTTAGACCAAATGGTTGAAGGTCAAAGGTTCTAGGGCTGCATGATATATCAAAAAAATATTGTTATTGCGATATTGGTGCGTGCAATATCCATATCAAAAAAATGCACAATGAAAAAATAAAATAAAATTCTATCATTAAAGACAACAAAACAGACAGACACATCAACATTCAAAAAAAAAAAAAAAGCATATAAATATATGCAATTGAATGTCAATAATGTTTTTGTTATTTGTCTCTTGCGTTTCAATGCAGATTGCAATTTTAGGTGAAAGAAAAAAATATCGCAATAATATTGTTGTCGCAATACTAAACAACCATATCGAATATCGCCCCTATTTCCAATATCGTGCAGCCCTACTTCTAGATATCTTTAATTTCCCTTGGGGCAATTTGGTTGCAGCAGCAGAAAGGCACACATATACAAGGAAACAATAAATATACAATACAACAGAAAACAAAGTAACATGAACAAGTATCAAGCATTACAGTATCTAGTAAATTCTAAATGCAAAAAAGTAGAAATAGAGATCTAGACAAGATCTTAGCCACAATTATACATGTAGATTAATGAGCGAGTGTGAAAGGGTTAAACAGGTGTCATTCTTGAAGCCGCAGTGCTCTGTTCCACTTGCTGAGCGCTTGTTGCTAGTTCCTGAACATGAGATGATCAGTTTTCCTGTTTGCACCTTGTCACTGATGAAAAGGATAATGGAGGTTTACATCCGACTCTTCTTCCTGATCGACTGCCGGTCACGACTCTGTTGCCTCGGAAACAATGCAGATAAGCGACTCATTACAAAGATCCACCATGTTTATATGACAAGAAAAATAGAAACAGAGGAGGCTCCAGTTACAACAAGTCCTAAAACATTTAAAGGTCCTGTAGATTGTGCTTAACAGTGTTGTGTTGCAGTGTTTTGTCATCAGAAATGTTGATTTTTCAATCCCCAAAAAACAGTAGCAGTTTTAGTGTTTGTAAAATGTTTTCTAGTATCTGATGATACCTACCTTTTTATGCAACGCAAATTCTTTAGTGTTAGGCCTTGGGCATCATATTTTCAGCAACAATCTACATCCTTTGCCAGACAAGGTACTGCAAGGCTATACCATAAGCTTCGTTCAAGACTATTTAACTCATGGTTTAGCAAGGTTCATCTTGGCATAACTTAATACATCACAGTTCAGACACCTGAATTTCTCCTACGGGGATCAATAAAGTATCTATCTATCTATCTATCTATCTATCTCTAGCTACATTGGGACTCATGTTGAGAAGCTCTTTTTGAAGCTGTTGCACATGGTGGGGCCCACCTGGTGCTCCCCAGAGTTCTCTCAAGTGATAACCATAATCCACATCTTAACACTAGCTATAAATATAAACTGTGCGATATTACTGTGATATTTCATTTGGGACATTGAGTTAAGCGCTGGCAGATTATCTCCACAACAAGACTTTTCTCTATTTCATGCCACAGTCGCTTTGTGAAGTTTTGCCTTTGGGACTGAATTTAAAAAGAAAGAACAATGTTTAAACCAGGCCAACAATTTGAGGCTCCATTTACCTTCTTACAGCTGAAATATTCCAGCGTTTCAAAGCAGCGTTTAACAACATTCTTTTACGGGACTCCGCTGGGTCGTGTCCCACTCTCCCTCTGTTTTCCTTGTATCTCCCCGTTTGTCTGCGCTGGCGGAGGTCCACCGTCAGTGATGTCATACGGGCCTCTCTGTGAAGACCGGACTCCCCTGGGTTGGCTCTGCACGTCCTTCATGTAGTTTTCTGAAAGATTCTTTGATGGAGTTGATGGAAGCGCCAGAGCCACAGTCTAGGTTGACATCTGCTCCATACACTGCAAAATACATGAACAAAATCCACAAATGGATTCTCCAAGGCAAGGCAAGTTTATTTGTATTGCACAATTTTATACACAAGGCAACTCAAAGTGCTGAACTAAACAAGATAGCATTAAAATCATAAATAATAACATAACATTGAAAATAAATATACACATATAAAATCCCTCAGTTGTATGCAGAGCTAAACAGTTTCTAACCTGGATTTAAACATTGTCAGAGCGGAGGCCTGTCTCACATTTTCAGGAAGATTCTTGTCCATTGTTTATCAAAAAATTGGTTATGTTGACTCTGTTGTAAATATATGCTATGAAATATGAAAGAAGACTGGCTGTATCCGTGTCCACTCACACATTTCTCATGGATAAACTAAGGGAAATGTATCCAATTCATTTAGATGCGCCGGTGGTAATAAGCTACTATAGCCACAGCTGCCCTCGAGAAGACTGACAAAAGAGAGGCAACCATTCATGCACACTCAAGACTCTCTAGGCAATGTGAGTGAAGTGTTTTACCACAACAACGATTTGGCAGCCACCTCACTCTGGCACTTGGTCTCCCATTACAATATTAACCTGTCCCTGCCCTTCTTAGCTTCAGAGGTCTGACAGGATATAGCTTTCACATATTGATGGTACCACAAATGTTTTAAAAGTTATGGTTGAGTTCTAAGGCCAAATTAAAACTGTCAATAATAATTGTTGATATATGGTTGACAGATCAGATCTATGGAGAAGAGAGCACTCTCAGAAACTTGTATTTCTGCTGTATTTCTCTGGCAACAGCATCACTTCTAACTAAATGAGTGAATTCAAAAAGGATGAGGGAAACGCTCATTTATCACCCTGGAGAAAAGTTACTCTGTATTTGTCTGTTTGCAGTTTAGAGTCACAGAGAACACATTTCCTACATGGAGGAGCATGTGGAAGAGGCCGGCTCCAAACAGCTGCTGCTGCATAGATGACATTTACAGACCAGATTCATTTACTGTAGCTGTGACTGTGTTTGCGTTGCCAAGTTGGAACGAAAGGACGATAAAATGTATTCACTGGTAAAACTGGCAGCTTAAAGATGTTAGACTTTCAATGAAAACACTGCGTTAGGATGATTTATTATTCACCAGTGTTTAGACGTCAAAAGAAAGTGATGTCAGAGCGTTTTGTGTTTGAGTTTGAACCCAGAGGATTCCGACGACAGTGAAGCTTTTTTGTGAAGGGAAGACTCTTTGAAAATAGTTTTTGTTCTAATACATACGGATTTATGTGGCTTTTCTTTTTCTTAAAAAGCTGTCTGTGTTGCATTAGTTTTGAGACTATTGCTGGCTGTGCACTTCCACAGTAGACCTGTACCAATAACATATATTTGTATTGGATTCTAAGCTTTCTAAAGTACTTTTGACAACAAAAATATAATTGAAAAGAATCAAATTACAACAAAATTAAGTTTGTCACATGTTTGGATCAGTTTTGTTTGACAGTCATAATCCTATTGACTTCTCCTTTAAGAAATTCCCCGTTTCCTGGACTTGTCTTGCCTCAGCACTCTAAAATCTCAAAGCTGTAGCCTTTAAATTGACCCATTCACCAGTTTGTTCAAAGTGGACCTAAGTCGGCTCCCTCCCTGCTGCTTCCTCTTCCAGCCAGATAAGAGAGTCTGTGGAGCGGTGGGCTAATTTGTTCCGTGGGGGGTCTGTGAAAGCCGAGGGAAGAGGGGCAGTAACCAGAGCCATGTCCAGTCGCGCTCTGTCCCTGAGGACGCGCTGCTGGTGATGAGTGAATTCTCCCATTTGTCTTCCTCTGCCCGGTGACATGGAGCCCTGACCGCACTATTAGCACGAGGAGACTCCCACCCTGGGTTTGCACCAGCTCCCACCAGTGCTTCCTGTCGGCAAGGATCAGAAAGTACACATTAGTACTTATAGTCTTTTAAGTTATCAGGGCCGGAACTATTCAACAATTATTTATTCAGTTAAGTCACTGGTCAATCATATGTCATGTGCTTTGTTTTTGACAGTTTTATTGACCATAAATCCAATTATTTGCTTGATTTAATTAAGCTGCGGTAATAATTATGCACTGGTTTAATATAGACCTTTTGTGGAAATATGCATCACATGGCATTATTCATCCACTCGATACATGGTGGTGACCGACAGACATGTAGAGACCAGATAACAATGCATGCTTTTTAATGTTTTGAATCTCTAAATGATCTTGTTTCATGAACAAAGCTAAGAAGGGACTGATTGGACCTTTGAGGTTAATTTCACTATTAACCCCAAAGCCTTTATAAACATTTTAGTCCAATGTAAGATCATCTTATAATTTATCTCCAGAATGTGTTTAAGATTCTTGATCACTATTGTCTATCAACCTGTGAAACATAAATCACAAAGTAATTAGAAAAAGAAACCCATGTTTCCGTTTGGCTGAAAATATCCCACTAAACATCCGACGTCCACTCAACCTCCAGATCACGTCAATATCGCGTCGGTCGGTCGTGACCTTTTATTTACGTCCAAACGACGTCTGTGCAAGGTGCGCATCTGGACGTAAAACAATGACCTCCCATATACGTGGATATGACGTTCAATCCCGACCTCCCCTAGACGTCGAAAACAGGTCATCGGCCGACCGACGCAGTACGTCTTGATCTAGCAATACAATATATAGGCTGTGAAGCAATGTTGGTGTACCTGACGGTAGTGTAGTGGTTAAGCAAACGTGTGCAGCCTTGGTTACGTGGGTTCGAGCCCACGTGTGTGTGTATTATTATCTTTATATATTTGTTTTGATTTTTAACGAACAATTTTTTCCTGTTTGGTTAAAGACTAATAAACACTCAACATAGGATTACGTAGTGGCTAATAATAAAACTTGTGAATGTA